GCGTGCCCCCGCCTCGCCGCGCCCCCAGCCGCGCCTCGCCTAGCCCGGCGCTCGCCCTCTGTCCTCCGTGCCCGCTTGCTTCGGCGAGACAAGAGAAGCCGGGGCAGGTGGCCCCAGCGACGTGGCCCAGGCGTCCAGCAGAGGAGAGAGAGGGAAGGGGACAAAAGCACGGGCAGGTGGCTGCCATGTGGGCCATATGCGGACGCGAGGACGCAGACAGGCTGTCCGCGGCTGTCCGCTTTGCCTCAAATCCATCTCAAGTTTGCTCTGGATATGGGGTCGAAGCGGACACTAAACGGACAAAAAGGCAAAATGGGGTTGCGCGTTGGGTCGTTGGTTTTGTACCTTTTACTTCAAACGGACGGGGCGGACAATTTAAAATCGTGCGGTGGAGTTGGCCTAAAGGTGGAACAGGGCCATCAATGGCAGTGCAGCTTTTGCATCAGAATCAACAGGACAGAGGCTAAAATAGTACGGCGTCGTAGGGAGGGAATAGGGGGGTGGTTGGTTTGGGTTGGCAATGATGCGAAAGGGTGGCTCTGTCCTCTGCTGTTCGGTGGTCTGCCTGCATTCGGTTCGGCTATGGAGATCAGATCAATGTGTTGCATGGCTGGAGGTTTCTTTTTTTTTGCTCTTCTTTTCTCAAGGCAATCCTTGAGACGCATCATGATGGTGTGCATGCGGCATGCACATGGATGGATGGCGCGCGGAAATCAACTCATGATGCACTCCAAAGTTTGTTTTCCAAGTTGTACTCCTAGATAATACTCGTACTATAATGGAATCATCGAAACAGTGGCGCCGAGCTCAACATCCATCCATGCATATAAATATCCTAGGATTTGTAATTCCGCACTCGAGGAGTGTACCGAATATCTTAGAACTCGCGTTTCCTAAATGACCGTGCATTTGTAACATTCGATGCGTGTCGCTTCTTCGTTGTTTTCTTGCGAGGTAAATACACCCGTGGTGCTTCAACTTGTCATGGATGTTCAGTTTAACGCCTGAACTTGAAAAATACGTCAAATTGGTTCTAAAACTTGACACGAATATGCAAATACGGTGGTAATCATCACCCGTAGACGTAAAGTGTGTCCAGGTGGCACCATATATGGCTGATGTGGCACAGACATGGGGTGGGTCCACTTATAACTACCAAACATAATTATTTGAATAGTTAACATCTCTATGACTAGTGGACCCGCCTGTCAGTACCTTAGCAAAAATGAAATGCAAAATGCGCGTGACAGGAATCGAAACAGGAAGCACGAAGCTTGTACACTGATCGCGCTAGCCACCACACCGACCAAGTTTCATGTTGAATTCGGACCCTTAGAGAGCAAATATATTGTGCCAGAAACTCCTGTGTCCTGAAATGGACTGCAGCCCGTGGCCCATATTGCACACGTTATATTTTTTAATGTAAAAGGTACGTAAATAATAATCATAATAATAAAAGTAAGATTCAAATATTCATGTGTTATAAGAAAGTACCTCACGCCACACAAATATCCATGTGCACACAAGGTAAATATATAGGGGTATACCGTATAAAATAAAATAAATTATTAAAAATATTCCTGTAATATTTAGAAATATTAACTTATTATTTAGAAAATAATTATTATTCATAAAATGTATTTTAAATGTTAATATATATGAAAACAATTAAACACTCATGGATTATTTTTAAAATAGTATTTTGGAATAATAAGTTAATTTTTCTAAAAATTACAGGAACATTTTTAAGTAAGATATTTTATTACATACCTCTATATCTTTATTTTGTATGCAAAGGGATATTTGTGTAGCATAAAGTAATTATTAGTAACACATGTATATTCAAATCTAGCTTTTATTATTATGATTATTATTGACATACTTTTTACATTAAAAAAACAATGTACGGAAAATGGGCCACAGGCTGCAACCCATTTATGTATACATGAGTTTTCGGTTCAAATACATTAAGGTTGAGGGGCTGACAGTATCTTGAAAACATATTAGGTGGAATGGTGAGCACAAGTATTTCCCAAGCGTAAGGTCACAGGTTCGATGCCCGTACAATATATTTTTATGTTAATTTTCTTACTAATTACTTAATAACAGGTGGGCCCACTTGTCATAGAATAGTATTCTAGTAATTCTGTTTTGTAGCTACAAGTGGGCCTCACGCTATGTCAGTGCCATGTCAGCCATACACGATGCCCCGTCGACGCGCTTTACGTCTATGAACAGGATTAGCATCGTATTTGCACGTTCGTGCCAAATTTTAAAACTAGTTCGGCGTATTTTTCAAATTCAGTCACTAAAGTGAACATCGGCTACAAGTTCAAACACCATCGGTATATTAACCTCTTTTCTTGTTTGTTTTTTTAGTGTCATCATCAAGACAAAGATTGTGTTCCCGAGACCCACCTTGCTCGACCACTCCTTGCTTCAGTTGCAACTTACTCCTACAAGGCCAGAGGAGGGGCCGATTTGTCATTGTCAGATTTTACGCAACGCCTGCAACGAGATCAAGTGTCATGTCGGCTCTACAGCTGGAATGTAAGGCCATCCTGTCAGCCTCCATCCATTTGGAGTAAAAGCAACAAACGAGACGGTCTAGTGCACGGCCTCAAACGAACAAATGTCCCGATTCGTCCTTTTTCGACCCATTCTCGACCCAAACTTGCGCTCGGTTTGGGGTGAAACGGACGCGCGCGGACAGCCTCGACGCACGCCCTTCTTCTCTCCTTGCCCGCTTGTCGGGGACACTAGCAGTCCCTCTGCTCCCAACGCTTCACCCTCTCTCCCCGCCCCGTCCCGCCGCCGGCGCCGCCGCTATTCTCCGGCCGCCTCCTCACCGCGCAGCCCCCCCGCCGTCCATACCAAACCACGTCTCGACATGGCCGCCACCACGCCCGCGC